ATAATAATAATAATAACGTCTTTATTGCAATTTCTAAGTGAAATTTACAAAAGGCGAAAGTCTAGCCCACTGGCCATTCTAACTTAACCCTTCCTAAAACTTAAAACTAACCTTATATCTAATAATTATAATCCTAAAATAAAACAAACATTACAATACATAATAATAAAATATAATGAACAAACTACAAATATTGACTTATTTTTAAAATTAATAAATATTATACATTTGTTTTTTGCAAGTGTAGCAAATATCGTTTCAAATGTATTTTGAACGATCCCTCAGACATGGTGCCCTTGATGGTATTATCCAAAGAATTGTATAATTTAACTGAGTTATAAGTAAATGACCGCTGAAACATGGCAGTCTTATGATGAGGCATAGTTAATGATGTTGGGTTCCGTAAATTTAGAGTGTGAACTGCGTTGCGACATGTTAACTTATTTTTCAAATACTCAGGAGATGAAGAGTTTAGTATACGAAACACAAACGAAAGGAAATTGTATTTGAATGTGTTATTAATTTTCAACCAACTTAAGTTTAAAAAAGCAGTAGATATATGGTCATACTTTCTCAGGTTATTAATTAACTTACAGCAAGTGTTTTGAATTTTTTGTAATCTGTTACATGTTACTTTGTCTAAACATGGATAAAATACTATATTACAGTAACAAATTTTAGACAATACTAAACTCTCACACAGACATTTCTTCATCTTATACGTCAACAAATTTTTATTAGCATATAGTAATTTTAATCTGATGTAACATTCCTTGGTAACATTTGTGACATGGTCTACGAATTTCAAATTTTCATCAAAATATACTCCTAAATTTTTTGCAGTGGTAACAAACGGAATCAACTGACCATCAATGTTAATACGCATGCTTGCTTTTAAGTGTTCACGTTTTTTCTTTGTGGAAAACAAAACTACTTTTGATTTATTGGGATTGAGGCGTAAATTATGATTTATAGCATAGTTATTAATATTGGATAAATCATCATTTATAATTGTCAGTGCCTCATCAGACTTATCAGTTGCAAAGTGATGATAAAGCTGTGTATCGTCTGCAAAAAACTGAACATTACATTTTGTAATTACATTTGTTAGGTCGAACGTATAAAGAAGAAACAATAAAGGCCCAAGTACTGAACCCTGCGGCACACCCGACACGATTTGCTGGGCAGTCGAAACATTATTATCCAATATTACTTGTTGGAATCTGTTTTCTAAATAGTTACTTAAAAAGTTCAACGAGACATCGTTAAAACCTAAGTACTTGCATTTGGCGATAAGCAGTTTATGATTAATTGTATCGAAAGCTTTTGTAAAATCTAAAAGAACCAATGCAGAAGCTTGCCCAATGTCTAATGCACGCAATATATTATCAGTCACATTTGCCAAGGCAGTTGCCGTACTATGGCCCTTCCGAAATCCAGACTGATGTACTGGAAACAGATTAAGCTCTATTACATATTTAGTTATTTGCCCGTAAACAACTTTTTCCAAAATTTTTGAAAAAATTGGCAATAGACTAATGGGCCGCACATCACTCATATTCGTTGGGTTGTGACATTTAGGAAGAGGTGTTACAAGAGCTGTTTTCCAGGAATCTGGAAAAAAACCCCTTTCTAGACAGCTATTGACAATGTGAGTGACGTATATCCCTACAGCAGGCATACACAGTCTCAACATCTGAGGAGAAACACCATCAACACCTTGAGCGTTTGATTTTATATCTGAAATAATTTTAAGTACATCTGCATGATCGACAAGATTAAAAGCAAACTTAAAGTCACGGTGAAAAAAGTGGGTCTGATAGAACTCTATACTTTGAGAACAGACATAATCACTATTTTGAAAGACTGAGACCAGATAATCATTAATGCCGTTCGGATTACATAAATGTGCTGGAATTTCAGAATCATTAGTACATTGAATTTTTAGTGTCTTAAGAGCTTTATAAAAAAAGCGTGTATTTTTTTAATCATTTATATGTTTTAAGTATGCAGCTTTTTCTCTACGAACAGAAGCTTTAGCAAGATTTCTCCACTGTTTGTAATTGTCCCAGTTTTCAGGTGTTTTGCGCCTTTTATAAATATGCAAAGCTTTATCTCGTAAATTCATAATCAATTTCAAATTTTCAGTTAGCCAAGGAGCACGCGGTTTGCTAACACGGACGGTTCTCAGTGGCGCATGTATATTAAAAAGCTGCATGATATGATCAGTAAGAAATTTCACCTTATCATCAATATCATGTATGCTCAATATATTAGACCACTGTATATTTTCCAGGTCACAATTAAATCTGTCAATATTAAAACTTTTAAAGTCCCTAAAAGTAACCATTTTTTGTTTACGCTTCTGTATGTTGAAAGAAATTTCACAAAACGTGAGACGGTGATCAGAAAAGATTTCTGTATTTATTGTGCCTCTACTGCTACATCTTTCCGGATTGGTTGTGAATATTGGATCTAACAATGTCTCTGTATATCGAGAGTAATTCTGCTAGGTTCTGCAATTAATTGCACCATATCATAACTATCAAAACACTGGCTAATTTTATTATTAATATGAAATAAATTAACATTTACGTCACCCATGACCATAATGTGATCAAAAGAAGGAGTGAGAACAGACATAATATTGTCCAAACAATCAATAGCTTGATCTAGGTGGCCTTTAGGTGGCCGATAAATAATACCCAAGGCTATATTTGTATTACCAAAATTTATCTTTAACCACATATGCTCCAAATGCCTCTTTTGCTCGTTCATATGGGGATCTAGAATAATCATTTCGCAAGAAAAACTACTATTTACAAAGACGCCAACCCCACCTCCACGAGTGTCTCGGTCTCGACGATAAAATTATACCCAGCAATATTTACTAAATTTGATGGAATATCTGATGACAACCATGTTTCAGTAACAGCAAAAACATCAAAAACATTTTGTGTTATCATGTCTGATACATCTAAAAAACTTGGTAAAATGGACCTAGTATTAACATGGCCAAACTTAATTACTCTTTTAGAACGTATATTCACCATACTTAATTAATCTTTTCTTTCAAATTAGTGACATAATTCTGATATATTGTACAAGATGAATCATAGACGGCATGGTTAACTGGTACATTTTTTTATGTGATTTATTATAATTAATACAATTTATACAAAAATATTCTTCAGATTTACATTCCCTTGTTCTATGCTTTTGTGTACATTTCGGACAAACTAACTCTAACTGACATTCTTTTTCGATGTGACCAAAAGAACAACATTTGTAGCACCGAAGTACGCGCAAATGATCTAGTACGGCAGATTTTTTTCATCCAACATACAAATATCCTCTTCCAAGTAACAAGTTTCGCAACGCAGGCGGGACTTCAATAATTATATTAATGTTAGTAAAATGTTTAAGTTTTGTGACAACTTTAATATTTGAACTGTCAACCTCAAGGCTATTTAACGTCAGAATATTGTCAATTATTTGTTGATCAGTATCAAGACCATTTAGGCTTGCATTTTTAATTATTAGTCTCGGATTAAACTTTTTAACCTCATTGATGAGGTACTTAGAACCTAGCTCACTACTTAAACTAGTTTTTAGATTATTTAAGGACTGTTCATTTTCACAGTGCACAGCAATGCCACCTCGTATCTTCCTAGTCCCATTAATACACGCTTTAATATTACCGGGATTAACTGACCTCGTAATATCTCGCAAAATATCATCATTATTAAGTGAATTATCGTTGGATTTTACTATTAATACAGCCGAAGTTGTTTTTGGTGACTTTTTTGTAACATCACTATATGATACACTTTTTCCAACTTGAGATAATGTACTCACGTTTTTCTCCACTGTCGACTGTTCTTCATACCTACGAATTATAGCCTTTTGCAGATTATGCGAATACTCCAGCTCGTTTAATAATTTGTTGATAAGAAATTTTTCTTTATTTAGGCTTTCTATTTCTTTATGAAGTAGGGCAACCTCGTTATTTTCGGCACCGTTGGTTCCTTGCTGTGTTGGACGCCAGGCATCTTTGCAGTTGTCACAAAACCAAAATAAATTTTGACTTTCGTTTAGAATTTTGCACCACGAGTCTCTAATTGATACACAAACTAGATGGTACCTTCTTTTGCAAAAATTGCATATGATATGTTTTGAATTGACAATAAAATTATCAGAGCAGCGGTGACACACGTCAGTATCGACCGACATACCGCTCCAGTGGTGGTGAATGTGTTACTGGAATTCTGAATATTATCTGAAGGTAAGTTGTTATTATGTTTTATACGATTTTTAGTGACTAGGTATGTATATATATTCACCTAGGGTCAATTTGAACATC